GGTCTTGGACTGCGCTACAGAGGATACTGTAGAAAAGGTGAAGTTCTTTCCCAGAGAAGCAGGGGGTTCCAGAGATCCACCCGAATACTTCTCATTCGGGGATTACCACAACTAGAATACCATCTAGAACAGTGACTCTCTCTTGACAAATCTAAAAAGCATTGAAGTTTCTGCAATAAAGGGTGAAAAAAGGAGAGAAGCAAGTTGCAGGCAGGACTCAGATGGAGAAGCAAAAGGATGTTCCTAAGTCAGTGCTGCAGCAGACATACAGGTTAGGTTGTAAAGAAGCTATGTTGTCACAAGTCTTGCAGTGAATGACATTGGCCCTCGGGAAGATAAGAAAGGTGCACTGCGCTAACATAACATTCATGTTTTATTAAGACATCAGTTTTATTACCAGGTTTCCCACCGATCTGCAGCATGACCTTGGACTAGTCACTCCATCGCTCTGCACCTCTGGCTGCCATCTGGCTCATTAGACTAAACTATGTGGTGAGAGAGCTAGGTGTAACTACAGATTAGTTTGGCAGGTAGCACAACTGGTCACTGATACTGCTGAAAGCCATCAAGCATTGCTGAAAGAGAGCAACAGCAGTCACTCATTTGCAAAAGAATTGAATTCACATGGAGGCAAAGAGGCTGACTAGCTGGCTCCCAGAACCAGTCTCAGCTGCTCAATTGTGTCTCATGGATTCCTGGATTTACCAAGCATTTCTTTCAGGAAGCCTGAAGGTACATCTCTGAGCCACATACAAGCATTTGTATTTAACAGCATGTTCAATAAACTGTTCTATACAGCACTTAAGAGTGAGTAATTAAAGGAAATATTACTGCAGTACAGCTTCTCATTAGCAACCTAATTAGCCTTCTGAAAATAATTAGCATTCCTTTCTATAAAGGGAACAGATGATCCATCACATCCATCAGACAAGCAAAACAAATGCCCAAGGTAAAGGAGTTTTGTTCAGAGAGACATCAAGAGAAACATCCAGCAGCAGTACCAGTAAAAAGGAAGGAGCGGTAAGCAAGCCTTTGGTCTTCACCCCAAATGTTTTTAAAATGGGCACAAATGCCTGCAAATCAGAACAAAAAGACTGGATTATGTATGTGGGTGTGCAGGATTGGTATATGTATACTGTCCGATATGTGTGCATCTGACATTTGCACTTGTGCATGTCATGATCCACTGATAATCCATTAGCTGCAGTGATGAAAAACTGTGCATACCAGCTTCTTGTGAAAGCCAGATTTAAATGTTCTCAAATTCAAGCGTTTACAGTCACAGCTAGGTCTCCCTATATGTAAAAATTCCCTAAAGGTCACTTTTTGACTATTTAATGGAGATTTTTGGAGGGTTTTGAGTAAGCCATGATTTAATGATGCATGCAGCCTGTTTTTTTTTTTTTTGTGGCCTACAGAAACGAGTGAAGTGACAGTTATGAACAGCATGAAATACATCAGTCCAAGTTTCACAGTGTGGTGTTCTGATCAGTTAGCATGTCCTGAAAGAGTTAGGTATACGCTCTGTGATCAGCACATATTTGAAATCAGTGTGGGTGAGCAGGGACTCTTCTCTGCTCATGCTTCACGTCATAGGCATCAGTGATGTGGGATGTGTATGTATATAGGGAAGAGAAGAAAGCAACAAAAATAGGTCAACGTATCATTCACTGGTAGCAAGAACTGTGGTATTATCTACAGATAAAGAAGAAATAAGTTACGAGGGAGCCATTTATTTGTTCGATGCATATTTACATTTCCCCGGCATGAGAGTTGCATACTTATAGCCATGAACTGCAGTGTGGCAAAGCCCAGCAGGCTTCCACAGTTACATCACTATGGAAACCACAAATCCACAGCTTGCTCCATTTCTCTGTCTACTTCTTTCTCCGGTGATTAACATATTCTTCTACTCTATCCTCTTCACATTCCTTTCCAGACCACAGGGGCACTCACAAACACTTTTACCTGGTTCAGGACCAACCCCTTCCTCCTTCAGGGATGTCTTTGGGAAACCTGCCCCACCTCCCAACCCAGCTGGGCAGCCTTCATTTGGGATGTTTCCACTGCATCTGTCAAGGGGGACTGTTCAAATCCTGTCTGACAAGTGAGGGATTTCAGCTTTGTCTGCCATCCAAGGTCTCCCTCAGCTTCTGAGCTAAGACAACTCCAAAGGAGGCTCACTCTAGAGCAATCCAGCTAATTTGCTGAAATCCAGAAAAAGCCAAAACTTAAAGCCAAAACCTGTTCTGGACACAAGTTATAGTGTCTTATCTTGACCAAAAGATTATTCAGCTCCTTTCCTGAAAGTGTGTTGTGGGTTTTTTTTTTTTTGAAGAGAAACATTTGAAGTGCTCTTAAAATGGAATAGAGGACATCACAAGACAGCTGTAAATGCAAGGGTTAAACTTTCACTTGAAGCTGCTAATTACAGGTGACTTTTCCCACACTAAAAATCTGAATGTCTCTCAGCAAAGCCCAATAGCCAAGAGCAACTCTGGAAGATGCAGAAGGAAGATGGGGGAAAAACGCTCAAAAGTCTGCAATATGGTATGTTTGTTGCAACCTGGGTATGTGAAACGGCTGAAGGAATCTTCATAGAGACCAGCAGAATGGAAAGAGCAAAACAGGAATAATTCCCCCTACCCTCCTGAAGCTAAATATGTATCTTTGTTGAATGAATCTTCAGCAAAGCCTTCCCTCACACTGACCTCCCAGGGCACCTCTTGCCTGACCTCAGAGCAGTTCATGGCAGAATCACAGGAGAATTCAGTCTCTGTACCCTTCTAAGTCCTCAGTGCCTCTCAACTTCAGCTGCCAACAAGGTTGCCAACCATTATATGGACAAATGCTCACTAACAAATAAGTTGTGAAAAAATACATATTTTAACAGAGGTTGCCAAACAGCCATTTAAACACTTTTTTCCCCCCACCCCCCCTACTAAATCACTCTGCAAGGAGAGAAAAATCCTACCTGTACTCAGGGAACTTTTAGCAGATGAAACCTGGACTTCTCAGTAAGACAGTGCTGGGAGCAGATTGATATGGTATGAATTCTCTTACAAAACTAAACCACTACTGGGCAAAAGAGTCAGCCCTCTCCTTACAAAATAGGACAGAGCAGTCAGTACTTCCAGTCTTGGTCCTAGCTTGTCTCCCTCACCTCACAGCCACTTCCAGGCTGGCATTACTGGACACATCCCAATTTTGCTGGTGTTACAAGAGCTCCTACCAACAGCCCAAAGGATGATGTTACCTCTGTGACCTAAAGTATGTCACAACAACAGTGCAGGAGTCGCAGCTTCATGGAGGACAAACTGAGCTGAGCAGTGATCACAGTCTGCAGGGTTGTCCCCATTAGTTTGGGAGCAGATCTGTCTGCATCTCCAGTAGACAGCATCCTGCACAGCTTAAGTGGATGGAACATACAGGAGGCATCAGAGGAATTAATTATTCATATCTTGTTCTGCTGCCAATGGATCTATGTTTTCTAGTGCCCATATGGCGCTCGGTTTTTGTTTTAGCAGTAATAGGAGATGTCTGCGCTTCCTCTGATGGTTCTTGAGGGCATATGATAAGCAGCATCTGCTCTACTCACAGCAACGGTCCCATACCCAGAGCACCTGCCAAACACCGCTTTCTTCAGAAGTACTCATGGCTGCATCATGGACAAAATGGTTGAACTCATTCCAAGAGCTCGGTCCAGCAGCAGCAGCCTTCCTGGGATGCTGCTGACACTTGCTTTGTCATGACCTTGCAGCACTGGGCTGAACTTTACTGTTCAGTAGATGACACTTTGACCAACTGAAGCCCTGTTTTCGGCTACGCAACAGGTAGCAAAGTGACACTCAGAGCTCAAGGCAGCAGCTGACCCTGTTTATCCATGCTGTCAGCGTTGCCACAATTAAGCCTGCTGCTTTCCTTTAGCAGCTGACTGGGTCTGTTCCCGAGTCTCAGAGAGGAACAGGAGGTAGATTTCAGAGCAAGACTTCCTGCAAGAGTGGGACCACAGAATGCTCTGGGCACTATTCAAGCAGATTTCTTGGGGACTACCACAAAGAACGGGCAATGAGACCCACGCCCCAAGACAGAACATAGGCTGAGGGAGGAAAGGTGTTGCATGAATCTGAATTTTATATACATAGCACCTACATATTCAAAATGAGTTCCCAGTTACAAAGAGATTAAAGTGTTGTGCACGACCTTCCCATGAAACCCTATCTACAATATAGAAAATAATATTGTAGCTTGAACTCCTGCAAAGCCACAGTAGAGCACCTGTGCTTAGCCTCCTGCTAGGGCACGACACCATACACTGCAGACAAACAGCACTCTCCGAAAACACTGCAGGGTCTGGGGATCGTGTTCTCGGCCCACAATGCCCAGGCCTTTTGCCAGGATCAAATACAAAGTTTCACACTAGCAAATAAATTCAAGTGTAACAGAGTGCAATAGACCCAGGACAGTGGCGAGATAAGCCAGAAAAGATCAGTGGAGTAACACACTGGTGGATCAGGTATAGAGACTGAACAGCTTGGTAGGGCCAGGAATAGACTTCACATCATCTGACTCACACCTGTGCTTTTACCATCAGAGCAACCTTCCACTCTTTACCTACTGCTCTCATTTAGTTTAGAGATCCTGTTCCACTGTCCTGATTGTTTTAATTGCCTAAGGGTATCTGTGTATGAGGTTTTAAAGAACCAATAACACTAGGATAAGTTTAGCGACCTAAATTCTGAGTGATCAGAATGATATGACACAAAAGCAGAAAGAAATCAAAGGTGACGTGTGCAGATGTGACCTCATTTACCCTTCCAGACAGCAACTACAGTTTGAACTGGTGCACGTAACTCTACCTCTTGACCAGCCCTTATCCGTTCTACACATCTAAATTTCAAAGGTCCCGTGCACAATGCACTCAGCTTTGTATTCAGGGAACTACTCTAGTTTTCTGCTCTATGAGTACACTCCCACTCTTTTTAGCCTCCAGCCCTTACCTTTTCTGGGGAGGAATCCTGGAGTTCTCCCACTCTTTGGTCAGCAACCAGTTTACAGCATCCGTGGATCGACCAGGTGGACTCCAGCAGGTCCAAGCAGTTTCAGATGCCTGCTGTTTTCGGGCCAGATGCGTGTGACCAACAGCTAATACGTCGATCAGACAGCCTTCCTAAACCAAAGGAGTACAGTTTAATCTTAATGAAGCACAACGTAAGAGGCTTTAAACAATGAAAGAGCTACACGTATGAATAGCTTAGCTCCGGTTTATCAGGTCCTGGAAGGCCTGACTTCCTCAGGACCCCAGGCAAGTGCCTCTATCTGCCCCTCATCCAGGGGCAGCTTTCTGGCAGCCACCTCCCCTCTGGTTAGAGTCTTTCCATTCTTCATTGTCCTTTTGATCTTTTGGATCCCAGCCACGGCAAACACATTGAGCAACTTCAGTGGAGCCAATGGTTAAAGGTTCTTCACTGCTATCATCTCAGCCACGGTCCCTTTTAACCCTTGGAGGGTCTACCAGGAAGTGCTTCATTTCTAGTTTTCCTGCCGATTTCCTGTTTTTGAAGCAAGCCTCATCACTGTTTCCTTTTCATCCTAATCCCCCCATTCCTATCACTGCCTCCCTATGTTTCCCACCTTCTCCTCCTCGCTTCTCCAGTCATCCCACTTTTCTTGTCTCCCTTCCCCACTCTGGGGCAGAACGTGGCCTCCTTGGACCTCGACTCTTGTCGCTGCCTCTTGCCCACCCACTGCCCACCACCTCCAACCTGTTCCCGGAAGTGTTGCCATTGCCTCTTCTCTCCTGTTCCGGCTCATCGACTTCCTTCCACCCCTGCGTCACAGCCTTGGGCAGCACAGCTGCACAGCCCAGGCAAGCACAGCCGGCAGGCACAGCCCATGAGCTTGAGCTGTACTTCTTCTCTTCAAGTGCTGACATTTAGTATGCCATGCTACTGATTTTCACAGAAGTCACGCCTCAACGTGCGAGTTCCAATACACAAATAGTGAACGTCTGACTAGCTTTGCCCTCTTGGATCTTACACTCTGCGGGCTTGTCCACACACAGCATTTTTCTGGATTAGTTACATGCAAAGGGGTTGCAGAGCAAAATCATTTCTGTTAGACTGCGTATCAGCTGGGATCTTCAAATTATCCTAATGGATTTGGGTGTTCAAAAACTGAGATCCAACAGAAATTCAAGAGAAAAAAAGTCTTTCTCTATTTAGATAGCACTGAACTACAAAAAGATTCCAATTAAAAATGCAGATTAAATACCTAATCCTCCTCCTACAAAACCCTCCTACCAAGACTAACACAGTGATGAATAAGCATAAAACCATTAATTAAAATCAATATAACATGGGTATTATAAAAGACAGATTTAGCACCTTCTGCATACGCACCAAGGCTTGCATCTACTTGGTAGTCTCTCTTCCCATGAGAATAGTTGCTATTTTAACATTTTTATATCAGATCAGGAGAGAGCTTTTTTGTTATAACCGAGCTAACTCTGGTTTACTTCATTCTAAAATTGATGTTCTTAAAAATTATTTGCACATATATATATTATTTTCATTTTGTCACAGCTCAGTATAGGTTTTTAATCGAACTATTTAACCTTATTAGACACATGCAAAGAAAGACTTAAAAAGCATTTCCCCCAGAATAACAGGAGCATTGAGAACTCTTTTTACATAGTCAGATCTGTTTGTCTATAGTTTGATTTGTAAAAGAGTGAGGAACAAATCCATATGAAATAAGCAACTGCAGTGCACTTGTGACTCTTTCAATGTGCAAATCTGAGCATTAGACAGGAAAATGCACTACTGTGCTTAAATCAACAGCTATGCCTCCAGTTCATCCATTTTGCTGCTTTGTTCAGACAAGAAGTGGATATGTTCTCACAACAGTTTATAAACTCATGAATATAACCGGAACGCCTGCTGCCAGGCTGAACACATCCTAGGGAAGTCAAGAGCGACGTTTCCAAAAGGGTATGTTTATTGTCAGTTGAGTCCAAGGTGTCTCAGTTTGGGCATTCACTCCTAACTCAAAGGCTTGGCATGGAAAAAGGGGCTGAAAGGGCCTTCCTGTATGAGAGTAATGCAGATGCTTCACCAGAATCCATCTTACCAAAAGCTACCGTTACACGGAGGAGGCTCTAAGCCAGCCTGACTTTAGGCCAACACAGTTCCACTTTGCCCCTTGCTGCACAATTTAACCCCTTCCCTTGCACCAGCGCTAAGGTCACCCACACAGCCTCACAGTGAGCCAGACCAAAGAACTCATCCTTCATTTCAATATTACCCCCCCCAAAGTCTAATCCTTCTCAGCCATATCAGTCCCCAGATTGGGCATACAGAGAGGATATCACAAGACTTTACTGGCACCCAGCAGAAAGAAGTTCCTTTTTGTAAAAATCTTCATTTCTATGAGCTCAAAGAGCTTGTGAAACCACAGCTTTAGTTATATGTGTATCTACAAGTAAAAAAAAAAATCAGGTAAGAAACTCTTCATTAGCAAAGACTATGTTGTAACACCCGAGCAAAGAGGTAGAGCTGCGCATACATGTTCAATCTTAAAGTTCGCATGCTTATACAATACAACATTTAGGCTGTTCAGATAAGGGGATTTTTCTTTACCTTCCGCATATAATGAACTTCCTGTCCTGAAATACTAACGATTAAAAAGGTGAAATAGTTGTAGAAGGGCTAAAAGCAGTGGTATGGCCATTCAATTGCATATACAGAAACAGTTAAAATCCACTATCTAGGCCACACTCAGGCTTTTCTGTCACAAGGCTGTAAAACAGTTACCCTGGTACTTATCCATGCACTGATGATTACTGTAACAAAGACATCAGCATTCCTGGTGTCAGCAGACTGGAGACTGCACATTAGTGTACATAAGTAGCAGCATTCATCAAACGAGAATACAAATAACAGGCAAATAAAAAAAGGAAAGTAAATTCTTGCCTAGGAAGTTGTTACTTGTGTGTTCCCTCTATCTATTTCAGTATTTTTTTCACAATTTCCAAAGTGCTCAAGGAAAAAAGAAAACTCAGGTTCGAGCAACTACCTGGTGGTAAAAATGAGACTAAACGAACAGAGAAACTAAGTCACCACACTGTTCAGTGACTTATCTGGGATCTTCCAGCGACAGAAGTGCCAAATTTGGAAACAGAAAGTAGGCATTCATCTTCTGAGAAATCCACCCCACTCTAACGCAACTTATTGAGGGTGTTGCAGATCGCACTTTCAACGGCATTCCCAGCACACCTTCCCTTGCTGCCTTTGGCGTACAGCTTTCAGTTCAACCCAGCACACCGACCAGCTGGGATCTGAACATCTCTGAACCTAGACTGGTAGACAGAACACAAAACATGCTAGATGTGGCTGAATTTCCTCTCCGAATTACCTCATAGAGATACCTTAGGCATGCTACCGCCACTCAATCTCCACCTCCTAAAGGAAATGACTCTTCTGAGAAATAAATAAATAAATAGACAGATCAAAAATCTCAAAACCAAACCTGCAGAGCAAGAGCTTTCAGCTACCCAGAGAAACAAGCCATGAATGATTTGTTATATCCTTCCCCAAGTATCTCTAGGTCAGTCCACTAGCTCTACTGAAAGCTTCTGACAAAGCCCTGAGAATCACGTTTTCAGACCTCCAGAGTTTCAGGTTTCTTCTGGGTAGCGGCAAAGGCTTTTAAAAGCTGAAGAACCTTGGGCAGATGCCCACACCCCCAAAGAACTACAGTATCTGCAAATACTTCTGTGACCATTTATCATCAAAAGCAGAAATGTGGTTAGAATAATTGCCCAGAGTCTTCATTTTTTGTTGTTGTTATCCTGCAGTCTGTCTTTAAAAAAAAAAAAAATCGGTTTCACACAAACAAACTCCCTCGTGCTGCTAGAACTGTCTTATACTATTAGAAACTCACTTACTTCTCCTCTGTGTACACTCTTCATTGCTTATGTTCTTTTTGTTCTTTTCCTGCTAAGACAATGAAAGTGAAACAGCTGTTTTTACTTTCAGGTTCTCATGCCTTACCATGGCTCCCAAAACGTTCAGGCCAACTGGCCACTGTGAATGTTTCAGATTTCTCACAGATTGCCATATATCCCTGCCACCTACCTTTTCACATAAAAATCTCACTCATTTTCTTACTTTTCACGTTCCCAAGGACAAGCTATAGACTTCTTTCCATAGCCTGGAGAGCCATCAAAGAGCCACGGACCAAAGCGCAGAGTCACTGCACAAGCCCAGCAGCGTTTGCGGGCCAGAATGGTTATTTACTTATAGTCAAAACACTTCTTTGTTTTTAAGAACTCATCTAGTGTTTTTCTGTTGATTTCAGGTTCTGTGAATACTTTGCTCTAAATCTGGGGTCAAATCTGACCTCACAACATGCCAGTTAAGCAGTAGGTGAGTTAAAAGGAGCAAATTTCGCAAAACTCCACCTACACTTGCTTTCCCAAGGAGTACAGAACACATGTTAAATTGTGAAAGCAAACTCACCGGCTTCTTGGTAATTGAAGGCAGGGTACTGTTGCCTAGCAACTTATCTGATTACCATTTTTTTCAAGTATCACATGCATACTTACATATGCTGCATAATAATATCTCACTTCTATGCTTCCTGACCCAGTCCAAAAAAAAAAAAAAACCAAACCACACACACAATTAATGCCTTTAGTCTCTTCTTGCAACACAAAATACAAGACAGTAGCTCAAGAACAGACTGAAACATTAGTGTTCCTGAATTCTACTTCTCACTTTTCCTGGCGTGCTGAATGTGCTTACACAAGCAATTTATTTTATCTACTTGTCTGCAAAATGACACTAATAATACCCACCTCACAAAGTCACAGTGAGAATTCATTAAGAATAGAGAGATTCTCAGATGGAAGGTGCTATGGAAGTGCTGGTGTTAGCATTCACAGCCTTGTAGTACTCCAAACGCTGCTAAGCCCGGTCCAAAGCGTAGCAAATTCTAATCATTGTCAGGACATCGTCCAGTTCTTGTTTTCCAGACAAAAAAAAAAAATCAAAAATCTCAAACCATGAATATTACATTTCTCCCATCAGAATATGACACTTTCCTGTCTTCTGTGTCTGATAGCTGCCGGGGTGGGGGGAACCCTACAACAAGAAGTAACATACCCCAACTTGAAACTGTAGTAATGTACTAAGCATTATTGCAGCTCTTGGAGCTCTTACCATGACAATCAGATGGGAATCAGAACAAATGCATGTACATGCACGACATTTTTAGAAGTCAGCATTGTTCTACTTATTGATCCAATCCTTGAAAAACTAATTACACTCCAGCTCATCTAGGAAAGAATTAGGCCTTTAGTTGCCTTTACGGTGAGCAATATACCCCATTAATACCTCAGTTTGATGGTTGTATCATTTCCACAAGGATATAATTATCCAACAGGAGGCCTTGGAATCTGGAAGTTGATCTTTTGCACATGCACAAGTTACATGCTAATATAATGTAATAAACTGGCTTCTTCATACATGCACCTCTGCCTTCAACTGCACATATGAATGGCTCAGGTGCCCGGAGTGCTCCCGATACTAGTCTCTGTCAGCTCAAGTGACTGAAGCTGCTGTTTCAGAAACACATTATCTCATCTCCATGGTAAAGTATTAAGCAGCCCTATATTGCTAAGAAATTGTTACGTTACCTGTACGACAGCTCCTCTCGTTCTGGTAGATATTCGAGCATTTTATAAACGGTGCCCTACATCCTGCGGCTCTTGTGCAAGTGCACTTCCAATTAAAGGCTTAATTGGGAGATCTGCCTTGGAAAGAACTGCTGGATCAAAATAAACCAAATCACATGGTATCTATCATGCCACGAGGGAAAACTCTATACACATTTTGAAAATGCCACAAATCACAAAACAAAGAAATAATTCTTCCTCTAGAAATTACTTGAAACATCCTTATCATAAACCTTGGCTGGTACCAAAAAGAAAAAAAAAAATGTGGGCCAAAGAGTATCCCGTGGGCTGCGCAAATCTAGCTTTTAGCAGAGGAGTGAACTGCGAAATATACAGTCCTACCCATCCGGCACGCTCTCCCATGAGCAGTGAGAAACGACACCGTCTAGAGCTCTGTGCAGCCACAACCCCCGGCCAAGAGTTCTCAGCCAAGATTAAACCAGTAGAGCTGAATGAGTTTGACCCTTCTCTGCACATGTATCCTGAGTGAAAAACAACAACACAAAAACAAAACAGAGTCCCCATCCCCAGAAGGCACTTTGCAGTACACACAGCGCTATGTCACAGCTCTTCACGCTCGAGAGAGCTTTCCCCCTTTGCAAATACGTCACGATCTCCTTCCCGCTCCTAGCGGGCCGCCGAATGGGACTGAACGGTGCTCCCCAGACTCCTTCACAAAAGGTACCTTCAATGTATGCTACTCTTGAGAGCAGAGATCCAGCAAGGAAGGAGTCAAGCAACAGCTTTGCCAGTTGATGCTGGCAAATCGATGCTTATCTAATGCCTACTACAGCTCTGATCTTACGCAATGAAAGCAAGACAGCGTGCAGTTGTGGTAGAGAAGATTGTCTCTGCGTCTAATCCAGCTTTGACAGAAGTCTGTGGGGGTGGGGGAGTCTTGAAATAAGGCTGTGGCAAACTCTTAGGCACGGACACTGATAAAATCTAGAACAAAAGAAAGGATAACATAAAATGTTTCTCTCTTTTATATAGACTAATAATTAGACATCTCTCAACTAGCAGTAGATCGGCATTCTCATTCAGCTGTTCCTACAAACAAGAATTTCTAAAGCAGTCTAGCGTTTCTTTAGCCTGTTAGGACATGTTAAAACACAGTGCACACCTGCATATAAGTTTCTTCCACACGTTTTTCAGCTGGACTGCAAGGTGCATGGGAGCTGGCTTGCAGTAGGCATTACTGGGCATATCATTTACGGGCAGGAAGAGAAAGAGCATGTTGTTCTGAATTGGCACAGATGTTGGTAATTTCTTCCTGCGGAGCCAAAGCCTTTGCCCAGTCTGGCTCTCTGTCAGGACTCTTTCTGGTCGCCTGCACAAGTACCTTTACCTAAGAGCTCAGAAACCATCTGGATACTCCTGCCTCATGTATCATCCCATAAATGTGAAAAACAGACCAGTTTATTTCTGATGTATAAGGCAAACCAGCCCTCTGGTCCCCTATCCAGTCTATACCGAGCCTGCAGAGCTAATATACGTTCAGGCAATGCAATCATCAGAGAACACTAAAATACATACAGGAAGCAGATGCGAGAAGTAATATGGGATGATTTACAAACTCACACTAATCATAGCCACAAACAGTGAATACCTTTACATAGGATAACATTAGCTCCTCAGATGATGAAGCTTCTTTTGGAACAAGTAAGGAAAAATACTATACTTCACCTTTCGTAACAGATAGGTTTTCTTTCAAAAGTGCAACTCCCATTCATATCATTCAACTTTGTTTCATTTGCCTCAGATCCAGCCTAGGAACACTTCTGTAGGACACTGCTTCATTCACAGGAGCAGATGGGACAGCAGGGACCTCTGCTCTGTTTGGCTGGGTGTTATTTCCCCATCTGCAAGGAACAGCTTACGCATCAGAAATAGTGTCAAGGTATTGCAACCACCTATGGAAGTGGGCAGTACTCTCCACAACAGGAAGGTGAGCAGTGGGAGCAGAAGCTTTTCCTGCCTGCTGCTGGCAAACAATTTCTCGAAGTAGCTGACCCATTTTCCACAGAATTAGTAGCCCAAGAGGAATGGAAAGCTGCTGCACTTTAATTAGCCACGCTGTTACCTCTCTTGCCTTACCATGTAACAGCAGTCAGCCTGACACTGAGAAAAAAAACTTCACTTCACTTCCTTTAACATGTCATTTATTAAAGGCAATCCAGAAACACAGAAAATCCTAATGCACAAATGGTAACAGCAGAATGTCCCTTCTATGGTTTCAGCATCAGAACAAGTAGGTCTCCTTCATGCAACTACCCTTTAAACCCCCTCACAAATAGTAAGCTTTTCTTTTGTAGGTATTTCTTCAGGATACTTTCTCCTTCATCTTCCATGAGGAAGAACTGCTTTCCCACCGTTAAAGAGTTTAAGAACAGAAGGGACTCTTTGCCTTATCCTGTCAGATCTCCCACATATCATGGTTTTTTGAATTTCACGTAGTCCCCTCGCTACTGAGCTCAGTAGCTTGGATAAGGACAGAAATCCTTTAGTTTAAGGAAATTAGATTTACATATCGTGAACAAAGAGCACAAGAAACCAAACTACCACCAATACAGCAAAGAAAACTGGCAAAGAACTGTTTAAACGAGACTCACACAGTGGACCCTTAGCAGACGATCCACATCCCATGCTGCAGAAGAAGGTGAAAACCTACAGAGTCTGTGGCCTTCCCAGTCCCAAACTCAGTAATAAATATGATTCTGAGGATATGTACAAGACTTACCATTAAGACAAGTAATGGCAGCAAAAAGCTCCGTTTTCTCCCTCCCCCTCAGAAGAATACACAACCTCTTCTCCTTCTTCCCCAACCCCAGCCCTCCTCCTTCCTGTTGTGCTCTGACCCCGATTGTGGCTAATTTCTAATGCTTCAGAGGAAGGCAAAGAACTAAATTCATCTGGCTAATTATGCAATAAGAGGAAATGTCCTTCCTGCACACAATGCAGTGACTCGCTGCAGCCCTGAAGCATGAGAACTGAGTACAGTCATTGTCTTACTCAAACACACAGGTACTACAAGCACATTTAGGACCTCACAAAACTTCTCATTCTCTCCACAGCTCCTGATGTGAGGGAAGGAATAAGCAGATTCACAAATTAGAGGCCAAAGTGATCCCTGCATCCGCATCTCTTAGAACTTCTCCAAGATGCTGAATTAAAGTACAGACTGTAGAAAGATATCCCAATTTAAAGACTCCAAACAACGTTGAGCCCACCACTTCAGCCAAAAAAACACTTCCTATATTTAGTTACACTCAAAACCAGAAACTTGTGTCTAATTTCAAGGTTAAGTATGTCTTTCACTGCTAGGCAGTTATGTTATGACATTATCAGCAAAACCGCCTAGTCTTTACTGTCAGGTATCGTTTCCATAGATATGAAGCGATACAGCTCACTCTCAACCCACATGTCAATAAGCTAGCCGTAAGTCTCTGAAATCTTGTTTTCTAGCTCCTTGACCATTTCTGTAGCCTGTCATAGGACTTCACAACAAGAATATCAAAGCCTGAACTCTGGTGACAGAGCTGCTCATGCAATCAGCCATTTTTGTTTACAAAATAGGTCAGTCATTTATTTTCTAATTTCACCGGGGCTCTCTTCTGGGAGGAGGAACCGGGCATATGTGGCTGCAGTCCAACCTCCTGCGTATCCATGCCCACGCACCACACACTTCCAAGGTGGGGAGAAGGCACCTGAAAGCTGGGATTTCTAGATGCTACTTTGGCACTCAACATGGCCTCAGCACTACTCCATCACTAACCTGGAGCAAATTGCTCATTTTCTACCGCCTCCGTTTTCACCCAGCAATAGAGTAGGAACAGTAATACTGACCATGGTTATGGACATGTTGCCAGACCCTCAGCAAGATGTTATGCAGACACAACTAGCGACTTGGACACAGAACAACTATAAAATCTGCCAGACACATGCACAAAGCCACTCAGGGAAGAAATACCTACTTGAAGTGAACTTGAAGTGAACAATCTTAAATTATCCGCAGTCGTGAGCTGTTGTCAACACAAACAGAAGAACGGGCATTACTGACATCCCTGCATGGAGTAGGTAATGCCATCTCACTGAGATGAGGCACTGTGATTTGGGGAAGACCTCAAGGATATGCCACATGTATCACGGTGTCCAAAGCACAAACTTAAGTACATCCTAAAGGGCTTTCCTCAGCTCTAGCCGAAAGCGGCTGCTAGCATTAACAATTCCATTTCAACAAGTCTTCCTTTTCAGTTTCCTAATAATTTTAGGAATTTTTTTTCTTCTGGGATTTCCTATTTACCCTAAAATAGTAGTTAGCCCTGTCCCTAACCAATGCAATACATATATATTAATGCATTTGCATTCCTGGAAACCACAGAACACTGCTCTGAGCAACTTCTGGGCAATTTATTCTTGCAAATTCCCAACATAAATGGCTTTGGCAGTGATAGAATAGTTACCACCCCACCTGCAAAAAATTTCAGCTCCTGCAGGGGCTGATTTTTCTTCAGAATTAAGAAGGAAACAGAACAATCCTGTCAACAAAGAGAACAGTACGAAATATTTCTTCTGATAGAGTTTTACTGCTCCTGCTAGGTAATTAGGAGCCTTACCAAGCTTGTATTTCCCTGGTAGTTTTGGACCAGCAATGCCAAAAGCTCTCTAGGAAGCCACTCCAACTCAAAACGATGAGGAAGAACTAACTGCCTAGCATCCCAGCTGTTAAAAAACACTAGAGACAAATTTCAAAATCCTATGCAAAGGATCAGAGATGGAAAGAATCTGATTTTCCATTTCTCAAAAATTCAGTTATTCTAAATATTTTTCCATACCAAAAATGGTATGGAACAAACGTCTTGAGACTAATTAAAAAAAAAAAAAAACACTCATTTTCAGCTGATCAGGATACTTAGGTTTGTGACCTCTTAGAAGCATAGCATACATAAGTAATTCACCGGGTTGCAGAAAGTCATACGGAAAGGATGACAGCCAGCCCCTCCCCCCAATCCTGTTCTGCAACCTCTGAACTGTCTGATATTTATTGTTCTCTCCTGGAAGAACACTTCCTGGATGAAGGCAGCTTTGCTGAAATGGATTTAAAAAAAAAAATGTTTCTAAACACTTTGTTAAAAATAAATAAATAAATAAGTGAAGCACTTTTCAGTGAACACCAGCCCCAGGTGTCAATGAAAATCCCCCAGTGCCGCTGCACCACAAACCCCACAGCATCTCCCGGGCCCGGGCTTTC